AAGAAGAATTCCTGAACTGCTTTCAAAACATCTGTCCCCAAAATAGACCAACACTTCCTAAAGAACTTCCCATTATATCCATCAGGTCCAGCTGCACTACTTGGGTTAAGACTCCAAACTGCTTGTTTAACTTCTTCCATATTAGGAGTGCTGACAATATAATCATTATCTTCTTTAGAAATCAAATTAGGGATATAATCCAAAATTTGATTATTTTCAGAAGGTTGATCTGCATTATAAAGTGAGGAGAAAAAATTCACTGCTACTTCACCAATATCAGGGGGAGAAGTGAAGGTATGACCTTCATTGTCACCAATTGAGGTTATAACCTGCTTCCTGTTCCTAACTTTTACATAGTTGCTGAAGAACCTGGTATTAGAGTCACCTTCTTTGATCCACCTTATATTTGCTTTTTGTTTCCAGAATTTTTTTCCAAATTTGTATTTCTGGAGTAATAATCCTCTTTTAAAAGACCATTCTCTCTCTCATATCTTAGTTCTAATTTAACTAATTAGTAGCAACTTCTTTTTCAACTAATACTATTCATTAATTTTAATAATTATTCTACTCACTTAAACTTTATGTCACTCACCTATTGTTCTCACTTTTTTCAGAAAAGTATTTAATTTTAAATTTAATTTAATCATGAAAATTTATAAGTAGTAAATTCTAATGAATGGTATGAATTGATTTTTCCTAATATACTCTTCATTGAATATGTATTTAACGGACTTATACTTTATGGTATTAGCTTATTGTACTCTTATTTTTCAAAAATGTTGAATTCTATGAAGTACTTTTATTTTAATATTTAATTAAATCGTGTGTAAAAATATATACACCAAATTTCATGTGCGTATGCACGGGTACTATACTAGTTTAATTCATAAAGTAAACGATTAAGAGTGATTTGTGTTGACCAAGTGAATAGGAAAAGTATCTTAATAGGGAGTACTAATTTGCCATTACAAAACTTTTTTACAAAAAAAGTAACCCGTTTGATCAATAAACAATTTGTATCTATTCTGTGTATTAAAAAATCTTTATAGTTTTAGGCGCGATGGGTGTTGTAATTCTTTGTACTTCACATGGTATGATGACAGACCGAGAGGGCCGACTGCAAATAAATGGGCGGATATTTTGTGTTATTTATGTTAATATTTTCAATATCCAATCTGGATCTAAACATTCTTTGTGTATGATAGGTGAGATATAAAAATGTTGTAATCTAGACTATCTAGTTCTATCACTGTTAGTTATTCCAAGGTCACCTAACTTTTGTTGTTGTTTAGTACAAGATGAACCCACTTGCATATTTTAGAGCTATTTGTTGGTTTAACTAAACTCGTGATATATAACTTTTCTATTACTCTTTGTGTCACTTTTTGGCAAACTACAAGAACATTTAGCTTCACTTGATCAAACTGAATTTTTTGGATATGGAGAAAACAGTATATTAAAGAGGCCTCTTCTTTGGGACAAAAACAATATAACATTTGGAAAACAGAAATTCTATAACATTGCTCTTTAGCCTTGGAGAAATATATACAAAGGTATAGAGCTCATTTGGTTGGAAGGACGGAATAAATGGGGAATAGAATTTGAATGTCATGGGAAAGTAGTAAGGAAGAATTTGACATCATAGTTTTTTGTTACAAACTCAAATATATGGTCTTTATTTCCCTACATGATCCTACAGAGGATCTCAAGTTTGACTACTTTGCAGTGTTGCATATACCTACATTCACTTAAAACATCTAAATTTAAATTCAACTAGTTTGGTCCCGAGGATGCTCTTATAGCACAGGTATAAATTGACATTACACATTCATATGGGTACATTTTGTTACGTCCTACGAAAATACATGGAGGTGCTGAGGCCGGACCTCCACCTGGTTAGGCCCGGACCCGGTATCAACCTGGGCCGGTTCCGGGCCCAAGTACCTAGAAAAAAGCCCGGCCGGCCCCGGCCCGGAATCGGAACCGGACCGGACCGGGTCCATCCCTAGCTTTAAAAGACATGAGTATTTTTTTGTCATAAAAACTGAAATATTAAATGAATAGATCGTTTGCCATCTGGCTGACAATACAATCGGGAATAAAATAAAAAAACAATACGCTGATTTGTGATAAACACAAGTGCATTAGGTATGGACTGGGCCCGGGCCCGGGCCGGGGTTGGGTGGGACTTGGTTTTTGGGATGAAGGCTTGGTACCGGCTCGGGTTTGAATCGGGACTAGGACGGGTTGGACTCAAGTCCGGTTAATTTTTTTAAAATTATTCTTTTTAATTTATTCCTCCCCCCACCCCCACCCCCAAACCTCTTCAAAACACTCAGCCCAACCCACCTAGCAGCAGCCCATTGCCAAAAAAATTAAAAATATATATAATTTGGTCTTAACCGAGCGGTCCGGACCTAGCTCGACCGGTCCAGTCCACTAAAATTAGGGCATGTAGCCCGCCTTTCGCCCCTATCCCCGCCGATCAAGCATAGTAACGGGCTGGGTCGGGTACCGGGTTGGGTCTAACCAGCCCAGTCCATCCCTAATTCGCTTAATTTGCATACCTTCTACAAAAAGAGATCAAAATTACTCTTTGTTTTCAAAGTCCTGAGTATGTCATGAATAAATAAATGAATGTAAGAGCATTTGTCTCAATCATCACTTTCTGCCACCTTGCCTCTATTGCACTCACAATTGCATTCTTGATACTCAAAATTACTCTTTGTTTTCAAAATCCTGAGTATGTCATCAATAATTAGATGTATGTAAGAGCATCCGTCTCAATCATCACTTTTTGTCACCTTGCCTCTATTGCACTCACAATTGCATTCCTGATACTAAGTCCCCCCCCCCCCCCCCCCCGCTATCTGGTGCCTCCCTCCACCCCACAACCATGCTTGCGGCCTTATGAAGCACTCCTCACGCCTCTTTTTTTTTTATCTTTCCGGGCCATATTATTCTTTCGTTTCCAAATGCTCCAAAGAATAGAGACAAACCTGCTCCGGGCTTCCCTATCCGGTTGCTCTAGTTTATGCCGCAGTCATTGTTCCACCGACGAGTGCTCTCTCTCGGTCTGAATCCTAGCACACTTCTGAACCTCCTCCACATGAGCGCACGATCGTAGTGCCTGATTCATGGATTCCTCCTGTTCTCCACATAGTTTACAACCTCCATGGACAGTGACCCCCTTCTTCCTCAGATTATTCACTGTTGGTAAAGTTTTGTCAAGTACATGCCAAGTCAAATATTTGAACTTCGGGGGAACTCGAAGTTCCCAAACACTTCCCCACCTGCTCCAAGCCTTCAATTCCCTACCTACATGCCCCATAAGCATCTTTTAGCAGCTTTTAACTTAGAAGACTCCTCTTTTTCCCCATCCACCAAAAGTTGTCTTTCCATAAACAAATTGGAATACTCATAATGTGGGTCCTAACGGCTGAATTAAAAATGCCCCATATTCTCTCTTGGATTCCAATTTTTCCTAATCACATCCCTGATCCCAGGTGGTCAAGTCGATGTGATTTTTCCAGAGCCTTGTCCTCGTAATCGCTCATCCGTCCATACCTGAACATCAATATCATTTCCCACTCTTCTGACATGATTTTTCAAATTAACTAACGTTCGATTAATATTATTAACTAACTAAAATGAATACGTTAATGACATTAATCATTTAAATTATTAACTAATTCACAATATTTAGAAACATTAATATATTAAATTTCACTAAAGTTCACTAAAATTAACTAACGTTTAATTAATATTATTAATTAACTACAAGCAATACATTAATGGCATTAATCATTAAAATTATTAACTAATTCACAATATTAGGATTTCAACGCTAAATACACTAAATTATTATGTTAATGGCATTAATTCACAATACTAAAATTATGAAAATCTAATAGTACACAATAAATAATTAACTAACATTTAAGTTAAATGAAATTCAAATAATTCAAAATAATAATTCACACTAAAGTAATGTTTCAATCCTAACTTAAATCATTATAAATCTTAAATTAGGCATTAACAATAATTGTTTATAAACAAACCTAATAATTCTATAAACCTATTTCAATTAACTAATATTTATATTTAACTAATATTATCAATTCAAATCCTAAATTAACGTTACGTATTACCTAATAATATTATCAATTCAAACCCATTTCAATTAACTAATATTTACACTTTACCAATATTGTTAGATATTAGTCACAAAACTAAAGTTCACTAATTTAACTTTGTTAATTTACATTTAACTAATATTGCTAAATATTAGTAATTCACAATAATAATTCCCACTAAACTAATGTTTCAATCCTAACTTAAATCACTACAAATCCTAAATTAGGCATCAACAACACTTGCTGATAAACAAACCTAATAATTTTATAAACCCATTTCAATTAATTAATATTTACATTTAACTCATATTTAAATTTAACTAAATTACGTTAATAGTTAAATATATTGTTATTAAATTAACAACCTCACTAATTTAACCATTTTAATAATTTAAAATGAAAAACGTAATACTTATTAAAAAAGATACATAATTCAAACGACAAACATCATCTGCATAAACAGGAAAAATGGCATAAGATAGATTATATTCTTCAATCTTTCGACTGATAAAGTATTGTACTCTGATTTAATTTTAAACACATGGATGGATCTCACGGATTTTATCATGAGAGAATTCCCTAAATAGGAGTAAAAAAGTTTCAAATTCCAAAATAGGAGTATCATGTTTTTTATTCCTTGAATAAGTGTAAATTTCTGCCAAGTTTGACATTACTAAGCTTTAAAACATGGCATTTTTTTTCAAACTTGGCACATTACTCATATTTAGGGAATAAAAAACATTATACTCCTATTTTGGAATTTCAAAATGTTTTTGCTCCTATTTAGAGCAATTTCTATTGTATCATTTATGAAGCACTATTTTGGTCACTCTCATGTCATTATTTGTTTTCCTTTATCCATAAGTTTAAGCAGCACCTGCAGAATTATTAGATATATGTGATCGTTCTAAAACATCATAGACGTCGAACTTCATGAGCTGGCATATATTACAGAGCAGCCGTCTGATTAAATGAAGCAGCAATATGATGAGGCAAGAGGCCAATGGTAAACGAACAGCGGTTATGAAGTTACTTCTAAAAAACACACAAGTTTAGTCTGGAAATAAAAATAAAGAGCAGACTGATTCAAGAAGTCTTATGCAGCAAGCATGAAGCGCGTTAATTAGGTCTCCGGAGTGGGTTGGGTCAAGCCAAGCTTCACCAGCAACTTATCGAGAGACTCCGGTGAGTGAACAAGGTACTTAACCTTACCTTTACAAAGGAACACCTCAGCCAGCTCAAGCTTCTCAGAGGTAAGACTAGTGCTATCCATCGTCTTGCTAAGCACCTTAAGAGCAAGCTGAACAGCCTCCTCCCTCGTGATCTCATCCTTATAGTCCTGCTTCAACATTGACTGTGCTGCCTGGTTGTTCGCCCCAATCGCAGCCGCCTTCCAGCCCCCATAGTTCCCACTCGGGTCACTCATATACAATTGAAAGCCGTAGTTCTTATCCCAGCCCGCAAACAAAAAGGAAACCCCGAACGGACGGAGTCCACCAAACTGCGTGTAACCCTGTTTGGTATCGCAGAGCGACTGGACCAGCTGTTCGACAGGCATGGGTTCTTGGTAAGAGAAAGTGTAACGTTGGGCCTGGACCCTGGCTGTGTTGATGAGGATGTTGGCATCGGACATTATTCCAGCAACGGCACAGGCCAGGTGGTCATCGATCTTGTACATCTTCTCTGTGGAAGTCGAGGTCTGGAGAAGTTTGGAAGTGACCTTTTTTTCGCCGACCAAAACAACTCCGTCTTTGGACAGTATGCCTATGGCACTTCCAGCATTTCCAATTGCCTCCATTGCATATTCGACCTGGTATAGACGGCCTTCTGGGGAGAAGATCGTGGTCCGGCTATCATATCTTCGTGACATTGTGAGTTCTGCAGGAAAAGGAACTTTTTGAGTTCACAACAAAAATAGAAATGTGCCCAAGGACCTGTTCACTTGGAGTTGTTTCAAGCCAATCCCAGACCACATTAAACAAGACTTAAAACAAACAAAGCGGCCTTAAACATATCAGACCAAACCAACAATAAACAATAATAAAATACATAAAATGTCAAATCAGACCCAACTGAAACAGGCCAGACTAATTGCACTATTTCGGTCAAAATCCGTGTATGTAAATAGGAGTAGACCACAGTCTGCTTAACAAAATAAGAGCGTTTAAGGTTTATCGAATTGTGCTTGCGTCTTTACAGCATAAAAACCTAAAGAGATCATACCAAGCCAACAATAAACAATAATAAAATACACAACATATCAAATCAGACCCGAAACAGGCCAAACTAATTGCATTTTTTCAGTCAAAACCCACGCGCCTAAATAGTAGACCAGTCTGTATATAAATATAAGAGCTTCTTAAGTTTTAATGCCAACATAGGAACTCAACTACATATTGTCCCCATTAGATTATTTATCAAATTGTGCTTGCATCTTTTAATCATAAAAAGATTAAAATGGAATCAATAATCCCATAGTTCACACCCCAAGAAAAAATTAAAATCAGCTCATAAATATTCCATCTGCAACCAAATCAAATCTGAAAAACTGAAAACAGAGCTTCTGAATACGACCAAGCATCTACATCATAACAGAAAAACTTAACCCAAAAATACCTATTCATAAGCCAAAACTTAACAATCTGAATCAGCTGGAAAAAAAAAGTAATATACGAGTACCGATAGAAGTTGTTTTTGTAGAAGAGATAAAATAGATAAATCACATATGGAAAAACAAAAAATTGTTTAAAAGAGAAAAGAAGAAGTTAGATAGCTTGTAATTGAGGTAATTCACATATCTTGCGTTGACCTTATCCTCTTCGCTTTTGATGGGAGGGAGCACCGGAGCAAGAAAACTAAAATGAGCAGGAGCTTCACTCGTGATAGGAGATCCCACACATGAAGAAACGTCGCTGACCAGAACAAGAAGGCGGGACTTTAGTGGTTTTGGCAGTAGCTACGAAAGTTTTAATTAAAAAAATACAGATAGCAAGAGATGCTTAACTACTATCTATGATCTCTTCTTTGAGGAAGCCTTGAAAATCATTGAAAGAGGGGTGAATCTGGATCTGAAAGAGCGTAACAGATCCGCAGAGGAGCGAAGGGTTTTCCTCCTAATGTTGCGCGTAGTGAGCGGGCTGAAGGATGAAGAGGACTAAAGGTTGTCTAGTGGGCTTTGAGATTACCCACGGTATACTCCAAGTGGATTAACGGAATACGGATAACTGGATAAGTGGAATAACCCACTAGCTGTCTAACACAGTAACACTCTAACTATTAAGATTTAAGATTTATGAATGAATAATGAATTAACGATTCCATTTCGGTTCTAAGCCAAAATATTTATAACAAACTGGGAACCTAACGATACTATCTGATAGGAACCAAACCTATAATTTATCTAACACCGTAAATAGGAACCGAACCGTACTATATCGGTTCGGTTCCGGTCATTTTTTCGGTTCCCGGTTCTAAAATCCCAAGCCTAAAATCTACACTCCTAGTTTGGTATTTCAGCTAAGTTTTACTCTTGTTTGGGTATTATAATACTAAATGTGTAAATGTGAGTATTAATTGTCTAGCACATAGAGTCTGCTCATTCAAGAGGCTAAAAATACTAAGCCCCCAAGTTTTTATGGATTACTCCGTCACTGAAAATATTAAACTCTCAAGTGCCTAAGGACCTGTTCACTTGAGTTATTTCAAGCCCAACCCAGACCACATTAAACAAGAATTAAGAACAAACCGGCCTTAAAGAGATCAGATCAAACCAACAATAAACAATAATAAAATACACAAAATATCAAATCAGACCCAACTGAAACTGGCCAGACTAATTGCACTATTTCAGACAAAATCCATGTGCGTGAATAGGAGTAGAAGACCATCTGTGAAACAAAATACGAGCTTTTAAGATTTAATGCCAACATAGAAACTCAACTACTTATTGTCCCTATTAGATTATTTATCAAATTGTACTTGCGTCTTTTAAGTATAAATACTAGTGAATCTATTGTGAAAAAACTGTGAATTTCAATCTCCCATTCCTGGGATGTAAGATTAAATGTTTTGGTAGACGGATTGCACACATTTCCTGTTTTACTTTTAAGCAGTAAACAGGCTCCATAATTTTCAAGTTTCCCATAAGATAATCCTAATGATTTTTGGCATCATACCAACACAAAAGTTATGAGTACTTTTCAGAACATCGACAACTTTCTTACATGAAAGTCTTGAGACTGCTGATTCACACATTTACAGAAATTTCATGAGTACAAGTCTCAAAAAAAGGTTTGACCATGTTCGTGTTTTCCCAACTTATTCTATATCTTTTTTGTTTTTCTAATTCGCCACCATACTCCATACCTAAAGAATGAGATAAGTATGTCACAATAACTAAAAAAAACATGCTTAAAAGGCTGATGTTTGTATAGTTGTTCAGCTGGTGCGAAAAAATCTTCTCTAGAATTGCAAAAAAGCTTCACAACTAGTGTTGGATGATTAAAAAAACAAGGTATAACAGTGACCTAAAAAAGTATGAATTTTACCCACTGAAATTGTCAATGGTGTATGATACGAGATAGCTACCCACTTAAAGAATATAAACCATATAAGCAATTACAATCTGTGAAATAACAAAGTATGAACTTTAATTACAACCTGTTTGCAATTCCCAGACACAAATTACAATCTTTGAGCTCTCTGTTTGTAATTACAACGTTTGTAATTCGTAGTTTCTCTCCATCTATACTTACTCTCCGTTTCTAAATCTAATACACCCAGAAACAATGCTAACAACAAAAGGTAACCTGAAAGGTAAAATTAAGTATGTTTTGGTATATAGTTGTATATATCATTAGGGTTTCAAAACAAATATTTTGAGTGTAGCAGATCAACAACCATACTTGAATGTCAAAACATTAATAATAAAAACATTAAGGTACAAAGGACATGTTTTTTTAAAGTCAGATAAGGCATGTTTTGAAAAACAGATTTATTTTTTATCAAAAAGAAAGAAAAACAGATTCAGTTAACATTTAGATTACTTATTACTCCCTCCGTCCCGCTAACAATGGGACAAGAGGGAGAGGAACACAAATTAATAAAAAGTGGTTTATGTGGTTGATATTGAATTGATAAAGTAAGAATAAAGTAAGAATGATTTAAAGCCACACAAACTTTACCAAATTCGGTATGGGACAATCTTAGTGAGACGGACCGATAAGGTAAAATGGGACAATCATAGTGGGACAGAGGTAGTACAAGAAATTGAAAGACTTAGTTAAACATTGAACAATGGACAATTTATTTTGTAAACAATCTGCCTTTGATTGTAGTTAAAAGCAAAAAAGTATGTATTTAACTATGAAAAATAAACACTTCATACTAGGGGTTTATGGTATTTTATATATAAAACATAATAAACTTATTATAGCATTTGATCCATCACAAAAATGTTAATACAAAATATGTTCAAATGAATTTAAATTGAACATAGAAGTAAAATCAGATGGTATAAATATCGAAGATAAAATCCTTAAAAAGTGATTTGTTTTGTTAATTCTTAAAAAGTTATAAAAATGTTGTAAAAAAGTGATTTGTTTTTTTGATTCCTATAAATTCCATTTTCTAATGAATTGGATTTGAACAAAACTGAATCTTTCAAACAATTTTCAGAATTTAGGCTTCAGAAATATTTTTTCAAATATTGAAGCACTTCAATTTAACATGAAGAAATTACAGTCTCAAGAAAACATGATTAATCAGTTTTAAAAAAAGAGGTATTGAAGTCATAGTTAAATTGTTTTCATAGAAAGTGTCCATGTATTCAAACCATTTAAATAAAATACACTTTATATTATGCAATAGTATAGTATGTAGGTACTACCGAACTGAACTTTAACATACGAGGGTAAATGAACATTGATATTCAGAGCGGTTCAAATTTGTAGTATATATACATACATCTTAACCAGTTAGGCATCCAGAGCAACATTGCTTCGGAATTAGAAGTGGGAGTTGTACGTGTCTTTGAAGTTCAACCACATTTTAGGAGAGGGGATACACTAGAAGCTATTTTCAATGATTAAAAAGTATAATATATGCTTAAAACTCTTCGAAAATTATGCAAATAGAACTTCATGTTGTTTTAATAGGGTTCATCTATACTTAGCAATAACCAAAGGTTTCAAGAGCAGACTCACAGGTTTTCAATAAAGTACAAGGTTTCACACATTTTCTTGAATAAACGCTTTGGTATTATGCTTTAAGTAGTTTGGGCAGTTCAATTTACAAGCTATTGCTCTAATCTAGCAAGTTAAATGTCGTTTTCAACTTATATTATTTTAAGTAAAAACTTTTGGTATAGAAACTTTTGGATGTCAAACTTTTGGAAATTTAAATGTCAATTCATCGTTTAAATGTCAATTTACAAACTTTTGGACAGTTCAATTTACTGCTTTTTTTTCTTAAATAAACTGTTATAGTGAGCTTTTAAAAATATATATTTACTAACAAAAACTATGGATGAAGTAAGTTTTAAATTAATCCGTTTGAAATATGTGTAATAGTTATATATTTCACGCATCACAGACCATTTAACCAATTAAAAAATCTGCATAGATGTATCCAAAACACAATGTCATGTTTTACCTAGGATTTAAAGGAAGACATCCTATATCACAAAATCGATAGCGGCTAGGTTAAATCCAGAATTTCACAAATGTTGGCATTTAAAAACACAAATATGTATACATCATTTTCACAAATTGGCATAGGTTTAGCCATGTAAATGAATCTATGAAAAAGGTATTTTGTTGCTATAAAAAACAGATACAATATAAATCTGTTAAACATGCAATTTATGGCCAAATCATATGCAACTATACATGTAAATAATCACAATAACGAGTGTATGCATGGACAAACTGATAAAGAAATTCAATTACCTAACCGTTCAAGAAAATCACAATAAGACGACGAGGATGCAGGGGATAAACCAAAATCACGAAACGATGGTAGACGTGGTTTGAGAATCTTCGGTTTTACTTAAGCCGGAATAATCAAAGATCTGTCGATACCACACGGACGATGGTCACCGGAAGAACACACGATGGCTTGAGAGAGGTGCTACGGATGAATGAGGCGGCCGAAGGAGGGAGTAGAGTTTAGATACGGCCTGTTCTGTTAGGTTCAAGATACAGTATTGAGCTGTTGGTATTTTAATTTCAGATTAAAAATGAACTTTGTCAAATATATTTAATACTAGCTTTCAAGCTCGTGCGATGCACAAGCAGTATGTAATTTAGTTAATTTGAAATTTAATTTCTATCGAATCACATATAATGTGATTTAAAAGAAAAATAAACTTAGTCTAATATAGAATCTGTTTGATAATACTAAAATAAATAGAATTAACTTATTATGCTTAAATTGATTGAATTCTGGTTAAATAGGTGGAATCTTCTAAATCGTGGAAAATATATGTGAAATATATTCCATTTGTGAAACAAAGAAAAAAAAATGAAAACAAAAAGTTAAATTGGTCTTCTACATAAGCATCTCAAGTAAACATAAGCATGTGATAAAAAATATATATTTCTTGATTGTTAGATCTTACAATTTACTCATTAATAAGAACGTTTTTAATTGAATTAAAATTTAGGATTTGATTTGGTATGAATTAATATGGTCTATTAGATCTCTGTTTTTTATGTGACTTATTGTTATAATTATTAAAGTTTGATTTGATCTGATTTAATCTGGAACTGAAATCAATCCAATTATAAACATTCTATTAAAATAAAAGTAGGAATTCGTAAAGCTATGAATATTTTCTAATTTGGATTAGGAATCTATTTGAAAAGTGAAGGCATATTTGAATTTTAGGTGTAAAATAAAGAAACAATCAAAAAAAATTTACTTATTTGGCTAAGCTAAACATATTTACTTGTGAAGTATACTTTATGTTGGTTATAATTTTTAATTTCATTTTTAATTATTCACTTATTTGAAGCTTACTAATTTATTAATAGGTGTCAAATTAATAAGTAAACTAATTTGCATATTTGTTTCTATTTAATTCGGTGTAGTAAACTAATATAAATTAGTTTCCAAATCAATAAACGTTATTAGAATTTCACTTTGATAATCAAATATTATTTTACTTATTTGAAGCTTACCAAATTAATTAAGGTGGATTTATAAGGATTTTTGTTTCCATATCAATATGCAATCAAAAATAGAATCTAATAAAAACAAAAGGTATAAAATAAGTAAATAATTATTATATATAATGACATGGCAGAATTATGTGGCGCTTTGTATGCTCTTGAAAAGTTCCTCTTATATATATATATATATATATATATATATATATATATATATATATATATATATATATATATATATATATATATATATATATATATTGACTTAGTTAGGATTATAATTATATTGTTCGATTATAATTTTTTATTATTATTATGATTATTATTGTTATCTTTCTAGATTGTTATTATATTATTAGATTTTTTATTTCTACTGAAATTTTCAGGTCCGAGCTGACTTGGTATACTAAATATATAGTCTTTGTGTATTCTACAACTATTGAAGTTTGGTCTGGACTGATCTGGTATGAATTGAGACTGGAATAAGTCCAAGTAAAAACAGTATAATGTTTCTGATTATTAATGTTATGATTATTGTTATTGTTGTTATAATTATAATATTATTATGATTATTATTTTGGTTGAATATTATCAGGATATTATTTATTAATATTTTTACTATAATACTTTGTATCATTTAGAGAAAAATTCCTGAACATGATTAAAAGAAAGATTAGTTGATAAATGAAATTTAAGATGGAGATGATGAACAAATCGAGGATACTACCAATGTTGTTTACAGGAAAGCGTTTCAGAATGTGTATGTTTTGGAAACATTATTATTATATTTATTTATTCCTTTTTATTCCAAAACATACTTCGTAATAATTATGAGGCGTAATTATTTTTTCATTAATTAAATTTTTGCATGTATTACATCTGTGCTCTTCGGCCATTCATCTACGTATTAACTAATAAAGTTATAAAATCATAAGGAAGTTTTCGCAATGTGTAGGTTATCGCACTGCCAATATTGATCTGCGGTGAAGATATTGAGACATGCTCTTTTATGACATTTCGTTTTTCCTACTCATTCCAACACAAAGTTACTACCTATCTCTGAGTTATTACTATCCGATCTTTGCTTATAATTTATTATGCATGTTACGTCTATGACAATTTGCATTTATTTCACACGACCAAGTAATATTTACAAAAAAAAATATCGCTATTACATTTTAATATCTCGCGCATCGCGCGGGTGCGAATCTAGTTAATACACAAACAATATACTCCCTTCTTAACATTTGTATGTCTCTAATTCATTTGTATGACTTTAATTCATTCTTACTTTATTTCCACTTTATCAACTCATTACCAACTACATGATTCTACTTTTCTTAAAAATCACACCACACCCTTCCGTACCAATATTAGGGGGATGGAGGGAGTAATATTCTATTTGGTCAAATAGTCTTATATTCTTATTACTTTTTTCCACATATCATACTCATCCGTCTTATTTAGTGAGTGTTTTGCAAAATAAAAAATAAAAAATGATTTTCAACTTTTGGTTTAAAAGAGTTGAAATGAGCGTTTCAATTGATAGAATTTGTGCAGTTTTACTCTGAGCTGTCAGCCAAAATTAATAGTGTACACGGTAAAGAGAGATCATAATCTACACAAATGAATAGAATTTATTTTTTTTATTTTTATATATGCAATATTAGTGTCATGTAAATTAAAATAATTTTTTTGGATAGTGATATATTTTTATTTTTTTCTCTTTCATTTGTATTGATTTTAGCTATAATAATAAGCTAAAAAGATAAGCTTGCTAACAATTGAACAGGAAAATTGTTTCTCTCATATGTAACATTTTTTTGTATAGGGTAAGATAAGTCATCTAACAATTGAGAATAATTTTTTCTATCATCTATTCTATTTATATATAAGAAAGCAGATAGTTCATTCAAAGACTATTTTACCCTTAATGAAGTTTATGTGTTCTTCTCTCCTTAATTGTCTCCCTTGCTATACAAATGACATGTGGCATTTCAAGGACATTACGGTCACGGAACAACCACCGCAAAGGAAGCTCAGCATTTTTTTGACACGTAACGTATGATATTAGTATTATATAATACATGTGGCATTAATGATATGGGCCCAATGTATGAAAAAACACCATTTTTCTTTATTCTTAAAACTTTTCATTTGTTCTCTAATCTTTATGAAAAGTATATGAAAATTCATAAATTTTTACGATCTTTCATATGATACCAATATTGCATATAAAAAAATTAAAAAATTGAAAGTTTATTAAACACCATTCCTATTTTCCTACCTCCATACAAATTATTAGTACTAACTATTTTTTTAAACTTTTATATTTTAAATTTTAATGTATATGACAAAATAACATTTTCAACTTCACAAACGTAACACTTAAGACAAAAACGTTACTATAAATAAAGTTATTTATATTCAATCCAGTTTTCGATGTGTCATAAAAGTATTATTAAATTTAATAAATAAAGAAATTGAAATTATTAGATTCATTTTTAACCAAAATCAAAATATACATTACCATAGTCCCATCAAGAAGATTTACAATGTCACTCTCCCTCATTTGTGCGTGTTTGAAACCTCGCACCAGTAATCAGAATGTACAAACATGTATTTTATTGGTTATCCAGTTACCCATAATCATGTACATCATAAATTTCAATATGTGACATTTCAAATAGGTACATTATTCTCATTTCCATGTACAAACATGTGTTTTTTTCTCATTTCCATTACTCTCCATTATACAATATTACATCTGTCCCAATGGACTTTGCACTTCTTAAGTTAGGTGAGAAATAAGAATAGTAAAAATTGTGTGGTTGAAGTTAGTGGAGAGGAGAGAGAAATGAGTGGAACAACAAAATAGTTACTCTAATAGGAAAGTAATAAAGTTTTTTGGGACAACCAAAAAAGGAAGGATGACAAAGTCCAATGGAACGGAGGAAGTATGCATTATTAATTCTCGTGCTAAATAGTTTCCGCCAACATTAATTCTCTTCTTATCCATGTTAGGAATTTGTTTATAGTGCTTTTATTTATTTATTTTAAGATGTAAGAACTTTAAATTAGTGTGACCGTTATTTATTTATTTATTTATTTCAACCTACGCTCAATTAAAAATATTATATCTCGCGTCGTCGTTGTTGCTCTATTATCTTCGATTTACTGCACAAGACACTTCATCAATGCATTCATTCACTGCCTATGCACAACACTATCTAATGTCATGCTCACTATCCATATTCAACACTATTTATTGTCATTTCCGCTGCCCATGTTTAATGCCCATGTTCACAAACCCTAATTTCACAAACTCTAATTTCGGAAAAAATAGGTGTCACCATGACGGCGGCGCGGCAAGGGGACAGCCGTGGCAAATAGAAATGAAGATGGCGGAATCGGACGCGGGTGGGCGCTGGGCACAGGGACAGTTACGATATCGCGACATGGGGACAGCCGCAGTGTCGCGGCATGAGGATGGCGGCGGCGGCGCACAAACATGGAGACGGAGGCAGCACCGCAACAAGCAAATATGGAGACGGCTGCACGCAGGCAGGGGTGGTGGTGGCGGTTAGGCACGTAGGCATGGGGATGGCCTTGACGCCGCAACATGAGGACATCGGGTGCCGCGGGTGCTGCGGCGATAGAAGCGGCGAGTGTCGCGGCAACGGGGGCGGGGATATGTCGCGGCTACAGGCTAATGGCCAGGTTTTTTAGAAAATCAGTATGAGGTTAGGGTTTTATAATATCAACCTAAGGGCATATTAGTCCGTAAAATTTATTTATTTATTTATTAAATATTATGATTTTAAATATTGTTTTGAAAAAAATAATAATGAGGTCATAGATTGGGAAAGTGAATTAGTTTTGATCATACCTATGTTAATTTTATCATCTTAAAATTGACCGAATCAGTTGAATCTGATGAAATTCGGGTTGAAGTGATTGAATCTACTAAGTATGCTAAATTATGAAAATTTTATATTTAAATACATTCTTCTGTTCTTTAATAGTTGCAACCGTTTGA